AGACTGCTCTGAGGTTCCACAAAGGACTAGAAGATTTGGGATTAAAGCTCTTTGTGAAGGATCCAGTAAGTATATACAACAGAAATATAGCCATTGAACATGGTGGCAAGAGATTTCTACCCTGAACTTAATGCTAATTGCAGCTTACTATCTATACAACTTAATGCTCACATCGACTATATCGCTAGTGAAAAAGCAGCCAAACAATAGGTTTAATTCACAAAGCTGTCTTTCCATGATTGGGAGTTATATTATTGATACTGTACCTAATATAGCTCATTTCCCTTACCTTCTGCTTGGAAACAAAGAAAAAACACTTTTAAGTAGTGGTCCTGGTTCAGTTTTCTAGCTTCATTATTAAATGGAACATATAGTGGTTGGCTACTTTTGTTCCCCATGGTCCCACCCTGTGTGTGTTTTAAAGTAGCCACCGCTCCAACAATTGGTTGAAAAAAACAACAAGAAATGTTATCAGCATGCTCACTATTCATGACCATCAATAATAGTCTATTGAGAGACACAGAAAAAGTAGAAATCATAAACATTTAAGTTATACTGCTGCCTCTAGGAGGTCTGAACACTGGCATGACAAAGAACGTTAAGCTAGTCTACTGTATGACTCCACTATCAACTGTCATGACTCAAATAAAACAATTATACGGTAAGTAAAAAAACAAACTGATTTTCTCTATCATGCATTGAGGGACAAAGGAACAGTAGAAATCATACACTGTCCAAAAGCAATTCAACTGAGGGGTGGGAAAACTCTACTGGGAGATGCAACAATGTGGAAGCAAGATCCACACACCAGGACAGAACACCATCAGAGGCGCATGGTTCCATATTTGTAAAATGAAGGACAATGAACTGTCCACCAACAAATAGCAGGCGGAACACAATGAAATAAGTAAACTGGGCCAAGTTACTCGGTGACGAAAGCAAAATATATACACATATGGGAAAGGAAACTAGGATAATATTCCATAAGGGAATTCACCAATTCGCTTAAAACTCCAAAGATGTTTAATGAAAGCTGTTTCGCATAGAATAATAAATGGGAAGAATCCAGTAGGATGGATCTCTTCGCAAGGATTACAGAGAAAGACTAGACCCCAAGTGTTGCATACATTTGAGAATAGAAATAGGAGCAATAAAGAGTAGAAACAATAGCAAGAGACAGGGAGTTCCAGTGTAATGAAGAACTGGAACCATTCTGAATTGGAAAAATCTCGGAGGTAGGAATAGCACCAAAGTAGAAGAGGCACGCACCAGGGGTGCTTGAAACAATGCCAAGAATTGGAGCCACAGGAAGAAGCCTGGGCTAGCAAGCTGACAGGAAAAACAACACATTTCAAAAGACCCAATAAACCTAACAGTAAAATCACACTATGTGGAAGTGCTGTTACTCTCACGGGTACATGGCTGTGAGATCTGCGACTAGAAAGGAAGGCAGACTTGGAACATCTCTGAGGAATGGGGACAGTGGATTAGGAGTGAGGGAGTGCAATACGTGGAAGCAAGTTCACAGAGTCAGAAGCTTGGGCTTTTCATGGTCAAGAGATTCACCAAAAAGACACCTGCCTTCATATGGCTAGTGCAGAAGACATTCATTGAGTGTATCCAAAGTGCTCTGCGCATAAGGACAGACATCATTGTTGTGCAATACACTAATTTAGATACATCTAAAAGACCCACAGAGCAGAAGTGCAGGCCGTAATGGAATTGTTTTACAAGCTGTTAAACTCTAGGGTTCTGATCAGGATAGGAAGAGTTGTGGTCCAATCAAACATGGTTTCACAAATTAAGGTTGCTGCCACAAGAGGACGGAAAGTGATATCACTTAGCTCTAACGTGGATGTAAGGAGGCATTCTAAAAGAGCAACAGTGCAGTTTATATTTTGCTATGTTCAGGGGCAAACTCATACAGGGAGTAATTAGAGACTGGGTAGCATCAAGGTAGTACTGCTGCTGTGAAATTGCTGTGTGGCTAACCGACTCCAGCCCAGAAAATGCCACAATGCACTTTCGTGAGACAAATCCTGCTGTTCCTGCATCGCAACTCAGTTCATAATTGATTAAAAGGGCTTATTATGTAGATATCACTTACCAAGAGACTGGGTATACCAGAGGTTGTACCACTGCTCTAAAATGGAGAGCACTTAGCGACCGACACAAAATACAGATGTCTGCAAAGCACCAAAGTGCAGATCCCAAAGGTCACGTTCCAGTATATCTTCACCCCATCCACAAAGTGAATCTTCAGAAAATGGTTCACACCAGATGCTGTAACACGAATGTGGACCTGTAAATTGCTCTGTAGCCAACATACCAGTACACTAGGTGGTCTTTGGTCCATTGGGATCTGGGTATGGCCTCCAAGCTATCATCGAGGATTAGCCAATTTAGTTGCATAGAGATCCATTTAAAAAGCTTAATAAGAATCTTGATTGAAGAGAAAAAACATCCACAATGTACCACAAATGTTGGTAGAATGGAAAAAAAAGAGTAAAAATATAAATATAGAAGAGTGCACAGCCTCCTAGGACACTAGGAAAAAACTAGACAGTTGGAGGCGGGGTTATATAGGGGGCTGGCTTAATGTTTTTTTGTTTTGCCAGTGTCCAGACCTCTGGAAAGCAGCAGTATAACCCAGTGGTTTATGATTTCCACTGTTTCTGTGTCCCTTAATTGAAAAGAAAGAAAATAATGATTTGTAACAGATAAATGCCCATTTAATGCAAAATAATAACTATTCCACACCCATGCAACCTGTGCAATGAACATTTTAAAAATAAAATGATTATAAAATAACAAAAAGAAAAACATCCATGTTACTGAAAATGAGCCCTATGTGTTTTACACATGCACGGGTCATAGCGTGCTCCAGCACTCTACAATTTTTATGCTCTATATCAACTGTAGAAGGAAACTGGAGTTACGTTACATAACAGTATTTCGCTAATCCTTTGCTTGTTAAGAGACTTTTCTTACCACTTACCAAGTCTAAACTTGCCCCCAATCTGAGCGTCAGAAATATTCTTTGTATTTCTTTATTTTTGAATCATTGCCATGAAGCCACATAGAAAGAAACATTTTCAACAGCTTTAACATACCTGTCAATCTTAACATTTGATTTACTTTAGGCGTTGCGACTCCCTACTGTGACAACAGTTAAAGTGCCAGACGGCTATGACTGGAAGGACATTACAACATACATCATGAAGAAGTACAGCATTGAGATTACTGGGGGCCTGGGGCCCTCTGCTGGAAAGGTAACTGAGAAACTGGCTAAAGATATCACAATTGTCTTATAGTTCAATTTTAAAGGCCAAGTTTAATAGTACACCTGTATTTAGGATATAAAATGGAACATCGTCCCATCTCTATTCTAATCTGACTAGAGGGATCTACTGCTGAGTCAGATCATAATGGAGACAGATGTCACATATGTCACATCCATGTCGGTTCCTATTTTCCCCCATTCTGGGATGGAGGTAAAATGGACTCCTGTAACCACTATGGGTGGCTGGATAAATGGCGGACATGCACCCACCTACCTCCGCCAACATCTGTTCAGGTCAGTAAAAGCAGACATAGCAAACTTTTTGCGTTTAATCCCATGGACTTGAATGGACCCAGGAAAGTGGGCAGATATAGATGGACGAACATCCAGTCCTCCATAGATATATTGCTGTCTGTTTTTGAGCCATGTAACCATGGGTCAAAAACAGACTGATAGAGCACTGTGTCAGCAAAATGCTGCAGGTCCATTTTGTTGTCTATTGTTATGCATTGGCAAGCCATTCAAAATAATTGGGCTGCCCTAAAGCAATACCTGTTTTGTAATTTTTTTATGCAAAGGGGAATTTTGCATTGTGGCATGGTGGCATTGACTGCATTGGTCACATTTTTGCAGGCAACACCACCTGCCAAACACGCCATGCTATAGAATTTGCTGTGGCTGCCTGTTTTTACTACCCCATCCATGTGAATAAGGCCTTAGGGCAGGTTCACACCATTTACTGGACCATATCTGGTCCAGTAAATGGTGTGAACCTGCCCGCAGTTCCATTGCATTCCAGACCAGACAAAATAGGACATGCAGTATTTTTCTGGTCTGCTCTGGAACGCTGCTCTGCGCTGGTATGAACAGAAGCCGGAAATAGCATAGGGATACATTAGGACGCATTTGGGGTCTAGAAACAATCTGGTCTGGTCTGGAGATGATCTGGATGTAGTGTGAATGGGCCCTTAGGGTTTATATCTTCATGGGAAAAGCACAGGTACATTTTAGAGCTTTGCTCAGAGGGGATCTTGGGACAGGGAGGGCATCCCAAGCAGTGGAGCTAGAAGAGATAGTTTGTGTTACATGTGGCCAACAATGCAGTGATAAAAAACAACAACTTGCCATGGATATAGACAAAGTCTTAAAGGTTCCCACAGATTTTTGATGCTTTTGGCCATTATCAGTAATCCAACAGAGTTGCCCAGTAATAAGATTTACGTTAGAGCAGCGGCTCTCAACCTGTGGGTTCGCGACCCCGTCAGGGGTCGAATTACGATTTGCCAGGGGTCACCTAGCGGCTCCCGGCCGCCTGGGAAGAAAGTTTCTCCAGGAAGAGTTTACTCTGCTCTATCGAGCAGAGTATAACTTTCTCTGCTCTGTTTTTTTTTTCTTTTTATTCCCTAACATCGGGGCCACCGTCAGTCAGAAGAAAAAAAAAACCACCATAGGAATGCATAGCTAGATTCCTATTGGCTATTTCACTTTGCAAAAGCCAATAGCAAACTAGCTATTGCACCCGCCCTCTGCTGCTGCCAATCAGCAGAGGGGGACCTGAAGTTCTCCATCAGGTCCCCTTCTAGTGATTGACAGCAGCAGAGGGCAGGTGCAATAGCTAGTTTGCTATTGGCTATTGCAAAGTGAAATAGTCAATAGGAATCTAGCTATGCATTCCTATGGTGTTTTTTTTAATTTTTATTATTATTCTGACGGCGTACGCCAGTGGTTCTCAACCTGTGGGTCGCTGTGTGATTTCTGCTGTGCTAGGTGAGAGTCCTCCTCAGCCCTCTCCTAGCGCAGCAGTGTCAGTTCTCCCACTACGCTGCCAGATGTCTCTGCAGTCATCCCTAAATTTTACCGTTGGGGGTCACCATAACTTGGCAAATGTTACCAAGGGGTCCCGGGCCTAGAAAGGTTGAGAACCACTGCGTTAGAGAACCATTATCATCCTCAGATATGCTTTGGGGAACTCTGTTCGGGGAAAGCCTGGTCTCTGCTCGGAGAAAGTCTGCTGACCGAGTTGGAAGTTTTAACCACTTGAAGGCCATAGTGTTTCACCCCCTTCCTGGCCAGGCCATTTTTCAGTATTCAGCGCTGCGGTACTTCGACTGATGTTTATTCTGTCATGCAACGCTTTACTGAAACGATTTTCATACCATTTTTTGGGGACAGATAGAGCTTTCTTTTGGTGGCTTTTATTCACCACTGGGGTTTTTATTTTTTACTATATAACAAAAAAAGTACCCTAAATTTTGAAAAAAAACATGTTTCCCTATAAAATGTTATGAAACATTTTTTTTCACCCCAATTTTTTGGTAAAATATAAAAGTCGGGGTCACGTCGGGTAAATAGACACTAAACATGTCAACCTTTAAAATTGCGCGTGCCCGCAAAATCGCAGAAAACGACCGCAGCCAAAATTGGCCATAGGCGACGCTTTAAACGTTTTTACCGCTCATCAGTTTAGTGTCATCAGTGATTGATGGCCCTAGAATTATTGTTCTCACTGCGACGTTC